TGGTGGGAAGGGGAGGAGAGGAGACAGACGGGAGGGAGAAGGGGAGCAGAGCAGCGTGGGCGCTCTGACAGGGCGAGGGGCTGACAGGCCCAGGCGTGGGCGTGTCATTGAAATGTGTTTGTACTCCGAGGGGTGGGGGATGGCTGGGGGGTCGAGGGGATGAGGGGGGGAAAGTTGCAGGGAGGAAGAAGAAGAAGAAGAAGAAGAAGAAGAAGAGACGGGAATTAAACAAACAGGCGTCTCCAGAAAAGTGAAATATAAGCTCATTGCCAAAAGTGTGTGTGTGTGTGTGTGTGTGTGTGTGTGTGTGTGTGTGTGTGTGTGTGTGTGAGAGACTCCCACTCTTGATTGACAGGACGGGATGAAAGCAGATTGCTGATGTCGTGTGAAAACCTCTCAGCTCGTCCTCTCTGAGGTTTTCAGGACTAAATTGAAAGTAGAAATTTGAATCTATAGTTTTATTTTGACAGTAATACCCCACCATAGTATAGTTGTATATATATATATATACTTTTTGTAGGTGTTTCAGGTTAATGCGTCTGGGTCAGTGTGTTGCACCTCTTTACCTTCGGGCAACCAAAGCCTGCGTCGACCTGTCACAGACACAATCAGATCAGAGAAATGACTGGAAACTCAATCCAGGTTTTATTTTTATTACCTGCAGGAAACAGTATCATTCTTTGGCGGATTTGACCACGGGAGCTTGTTCAGACGTGTTTAGTTGCCGTGAACGAGGCTGATGTTTGTGGGACATACAGGAACCATAACGCGCTCTGTCAGTCGTGCACAGTGTGTGTGTGTGTGTGTGTGTGTGTGTGCAGACTAGATTCTGGCAGATGAGCTTTTGTCGTCTGTAGAAACAATCACGTAAATAAAGTGTCGTGCAGAGAAGGAGCAGTGGGGGTGTTGAGACGCAAGGCAGTGGTGTAAAATTTGGTGAACTGGGAAACTGGGACTTGTGGGAACACGCAGCCTGGGTGTCGACCTACCTCAGAGTGTGGGTGGACATCCTATTTCCTGCCGGCGCTCTCATTTTAATTTGTTCTCGTTTGGTTCTTGTTGTTAGATAGTGAGTGTACAGTGTGTGTGTGAGGGTGAGAAGAGGGGAGGAAAGGAGGGTGAGATCAAAAGAGGGAGATCTGGAGGTGAAACTCCTCCTCCTCCTCGTTCCTTTCACAATTTGATTTGATCCCCGTCTGCTCGGAGGCTGATCCTTCCAAGGTCATATCTGCATAATAACACACACAGACACACTCAGCAGGCAGACGTGGATTTATCGGCCGGAGGTGGGCGGACTGGAATCCTACCTGCTACCTGCTCCATGTGTGCGTTTGGAAAACACATCACACATCAGACATTTTGCATGGAAGCTCGCCGTTGACCTTGGAAACGCACGGCGTGACATAACCGTCTCAACTCGGGCTCCTCCTTTTATGAGCCTCCACCAGAGCTGTCGACCACATGTCATGGTCTTCAGCGGCAGCTCGTGATGTGTGAACTCTTAGATTTCAGCCATATCGCCTTTTTTCGGGGGCCTCACATCTGCGTCAGTTCCCTCGTAGATTCATCCACGATACTTCCACCTGTAAATAAAAATGGACGACGCCGCTCTACTTCCTCCCATCGTACCAAAATGGACGTCGGCCATCTTGCGCCGCGGTGTCGAAAGAGTTTCCTTCACTTTGAATTCTCGCGTATTTCTGGTGAAACTTTACTCTTCGTCATGTTTCAGCCACTTAATAGCTTCAACCTTTTGATTTCACAGATGACCAGTTATGTCTCGCTCTGGCCCCTTGTGATATCGCTCCTGTAACGTGGGTTTTACTTCGTGCAAAGTTAACGCGGAGATTTTTACGCTCTGTTCCACCTTTTAGGTTTCGTCTTGATGTTCCTGCAGGAGTTTAGATTTCAGCATAATCTGCAGTTTTGCTTTGATATTTGTTTTAGTTTCCTTCTGAAATTAATTAGAGGATTATAAAAGCATGGAGTTCCATCCCACCCACACACACACACACACACACACACACACACACACACACACACTCACACACTCACACTCTACAAATACTAGTTTTCTCATCATTTGGGCTTTTGAAGACACATAAAAGAAGCTGCAGCACGGAGATTGAATTGTACTTCTGTTATTGTATTGTATGTTATTTCATTTTACTGCTGCCGTGTTCAGGGTGTATAGAGGCAGCGGAGGTGGGTGGTAGGGGGGTGCAGGGTTTCAGGGTGGTGTTGGTGGTGGTGGGGGGGGGGAGGTTGACAAAAGCCGCTCTGGTTCCGTCCCCAGGGTGTTACACTGGTGGCAGCTGGCCTAATTCCCCAAAATAGCTCATTGATGGGGAATCAGGCAGAGTCGCAGCGATCGTGTTGAGATTGGATTCGAGCTGCTGGCGGCGGCGATGAGCACCGAGGGCATCGCTCCACGGTGGCGTTTGCCGTGACGGAGACGTTCACAAGCTCTCCGCTCGCTCTTCTGGGCTTCATCGTACACACACTAATTAAAGTTTCAGCCAGAGCGCGTGGATGCTCTTAGAGCTCCGACAAACTTTACTGCATAGTCGTAACAGTGTACTAATATATGAATATATATATATATGTATATATATATGTACACATCAGGAAGTAGATCAGAGGTCAAAGGTCATTATGTGTAACAAAGACATGAAGATAAACAAAATACTTCTGTTACTTCTATGCAGTAAAGCTAGTTAGTATTCAAAGTAGCTCTAACTGTAGCTAACATCTGTAAATGTATTGGACCAGTAGTACTAGTAGTAGTAGTTGCAGTAACAGTGGTAGTCGTAGTAGAAGTAGTACAATAGCACCAGTAGTGCATTTAGTAGTAGTAGCAATAGTCGAGAGGTACCAGGGGCAGTATTTGACAATAAAATAAACAGTTGTACTTATTGTATTTGTAAGAGTAGTGGTAATATAAGTAATTAATAGTAGTAGTAGTAATAGTAATAGTAGTTGTAATATGTCTTTTATAAGTTGGATTTGTTGCAGTAGTGTGCATCGATAACAATAACAGCAGTAGTACTACGGATACTAGTAGCTGTGATGTAGTAGTAGCAGTTGTAATAGCGTCAATAGAAGTAGTCCCACGATTAGTATTACTTACAGCTCCGGAGCTGAATAAGTGAAACTAGTAGTAGTGGTGGTACTGTAACATACACGTTGCACGACTCTGTGAACGTCTACATTGTTGAAGTATTCTCCAGTATTGTGCAGACGCTGTGTTAATCTCCCATTGTTCTGTCTGACTGTGTTTTCTTCAGCTCGGGCAGTTCAGTGGGTTTGACTGGAGGAAAGCTCATCAGCAACACGGAGTCCAGACTGTGAAAGTCACATTGGAGAAAACACTTTGTGCCAGATTTAGCAGCAGATGAGTCAAAAACATGCTCGCACAGTTCGGAGGGCTTCCTGCTGCATGTCTCCCTGTGTTGGAAACCACTCACATGCCCTGTCACATTGCGGCTGCTTGTAAACTGGTGAAGTCTGAATGGAGCATTTGCATACGGGACGCACTCCGCTCTGCAGACTCGCACGTGAACAGAGGTACAGACATCACTCACTCAACCTCGAGATAACAGCAGATGACCTTAAAACACAAAATCAATGCGTATGAAAGTGGTCGGGAAATTCTGGTGTCGGCTTTTGTCGTATGTTTGTGTTTCGTTTCTTTTCATGTGAAAGTTAATCTGACGAGGAAAAATCAGAACAGAAAGAATAATCAGGTACAACTGTCAATACATGATGTCACACATGCAGTTAAACATGTAAAGTATACACACACGGTGTACAAATACATTTTTCATTGAATATAAAGAAATGTGCTAATATAGGTAAACACATACATGTGTAAATATACTTATAACACACACATGACCACGATATAGACACATACTTTACTGAAATATAAAAAAAACTAAACATACAATCCACAAAGTAAAATACACATATTGTCTTTAATAACATTCCCATTTAACTGGAGTTCAAGTGAACACTGAATGGATAAAAACAAATGTGCAAACACAAAAAAAGGTCAAAGTTTTAAATGTGATGCATCTCATTAGACTTTTTTTTTTTTTTTGCACATTGATCTTTATCTATTGATTATTTTTAAAATGTGGAAATGATGAAGAACGAGCCGCAGCAGAACACGCAGTGTGCAAACTGCTGTGTCTCTGTGGGTGTTGAACCTGCCTGTGTTTGGTATTCCGTGCAGAAGCCTCCCACGCCCCGTGTGTCCACCCACGCGCGGATTTGCGTCACGCAGGGAGCAGCGTGGGCGAGAGAGAGAGAGAGAGAGAGAGAGACAGAGGGAGGGAGAGAGGGAGGGAGAGAGACAGACATAGAGAGAGAGAGAGAGAGAGACAGACAGGGGGAGAGAGAGAGAAATAGGGACACATAGAGAGAGAGACAGACAGACGGATAGAGAGACAGATTGATAGAGAGACTACACAAAGAGAGAGAGAGACGCGGAATATCCCACTTTATTCCGCTGACGCGTCAAGGTGCGCGCGTTGAGGACGCGGCAGACAGGACGCGTTAACAAAATAAAAGCTGTTGAATTTGAAGACAAATGAACGTGCACGAGAGCCTCGTGTACTTAAATGAATCTTCATAATAAATCTACTTTTATCAGCTTTTCATTTTATTCTACTCTGCATTTTTAAAGTTCTTCTTCCTGTTCTTGTTGTTGTTGTTGTTGTGGTAAACTTGGTCGAATCGAAAGTGCTTTGGATGTAGAGGCATCAGAGACAAAGACGCCTCATGTTGTAGTGAATAGGAAACATTATCTTTACCATATAAATACAACAATAATACACACATCACTGCGTGTTTAACGAGAACCTGCACATTCTCCTTTACGCACGCTCATCCTGGTGCTTTTACTTCGTTACCCCTGGCGGAAGTGTGTGAGGGTGTGTGTGTGTGTGCGTGTGCATGACGGTGGTGACAAGTGAAGGGGAGTGGAGAGAGAGGACTCAAACACATACACGCTCACGCACGCACTGACACACACTCTCCATACGCGGGCTTCCACACAACACACACTTGGAGGAAGAAGACGCACCAAAGACGCACGAAGGTCAGCGGCTCCTCTCTGCTTCTCTGCGCCTGTTCTCTCTCTTTTCTCTCGGCGGCAGGAGAAAGAAAAAGTTTCCAGAAGGAGAGAAAGAAAGAAAGAAGGAGTGTCGCTCAGCGTGAGCAAGCAAAGGCAAGAAAAGCCCTGTTTGGTTTCCTATTTTTCGCGTCTTGGACACTATTTTTTTTTTTTTTTCGATTTTTACGCACCAGGCACGAGCTGTGGGAATCTCTCGAAGCGGACTCCCGGGGTTTGTGGTGATACACAGTGAGGAAGAGGAAGGAGGAACCAGACCAGGGCGAACCAAAGGGGGTGAAGAACTCACCAGGTAGGTAAGACTAGACTCCTGCTGCTGATTTCATCCACAACACTCGTTTCTCTGCAGGAATCACAAAGGAAGTGCTTTAAAATGTCACTGAGGACTCGTCTTTTTACGCATGAAAGATGAAACAGTCCACATGCAAACCCTGCCTCTGTTTGAATAGTGTGTGTGTTTATTATAAGAAATATTAAAGTGGGTTTAAAAATAGCTCAGGGCGCCACATGCCATTATTAACTCACTACTGAGCAGCACACACAGGCTGGGAGTCTGTGTGAGGTGAAATACCTTAAAGCACAATCTCCATCACTCCTGTGCATGATTATTATATATCTATTAAATGTGTATACGTTGTAAAAAATACTGGAAAAACCTCAAAGCAGATGAAAATAGCTCAGAACTCATCACCGAGCAGCATAAAGAGACAGCTCTGTGTCACTGTCGCAATACTATGACATGTTAATACATTAAAGCAGCATTAAAGCCGTGTACATGTGTATTATATGAATATCATACATGTTAAAATACCACGAGGGGGGTCACTGTCATTGTAAACTTTCATGTAGAAGTTGCTGTGGGAGAATTACTGGTGTTTCACATGATCTTTGTTTTATTTAAAAGCATTAACTGTTGTGAATATGATGTCGAAACACACACGCACGCTGTAAGGACTCATGGTTACCAGGTCATAGTGATGATGTATTGATTGCAACATTCATGGGTTCTGCTCTGAGAAACTGGAAAATTCCCCCTTGAATCGTAGTCAAATCTAAGAAATCTTCGTTCTGTCTGTGGGAGGGCAGAGATAAGGCCGGTGTGCCACTTCACCTGGAACACCAGCCTCCATTGTGCGTGTGTTTGTGCCAGCGAGCCCTGACTCTCCAGGTGAAAGGCTGAACTCGCTCAACTGGCTTTGTGAAGCGGGGCTTCATTTAGAAAGCTGCCATTCACGGCCGCCTTTTACACCCAGGACGCACACTCACACGTCTGCTGTGATAAAACCGGAGTATGATGGCAGGCTGTTGGAGTCAGAGAGTGTTTGTGCAGACGACGAGGAACAAACACACACAAAACATGACTGAAGCTGCTCTTCCTCTCGTACAGTAAACCGTGTTGAGGCTCACTGATGGACTCGGTTTCATTCTCCAGACAGAGGCTCGTCTTCGTTGATGGACAATGTTACCTGCTACACACACACACACACACACGATCACACTGCAGCTAAATATAGTCGTTCAGTTCACACACAGATCTGTTGTAAAGCAGCAGAAAACAGCGTCTGTGCCAAAGTGACAGCCTCGTTCAGTTCTGTCGTTGCGTTCAGGGCTGCAGCTCTCAAAGTCCGTTCATCTGCCAAGTGTTTTCTTTGGTAATTAGTTAATTGTTTTGCGACATATTCACATTGTTTTTCTGTCCAAAGCCCGAAGATGCTCAGTTTACTATCGAAGAGGCATCAGTCTGCTGATTCATTTAAACCTGTCACCAGGTTAAAGCTCTGAACTCTGACACTGTAACGTTAAACCTGTCTTTGTGCTTCATGAGGTATTTGGAGTACATGGTGCAGTAAAGTTAAGTATCAAGTACACTCCACAGCTGACGTACAGAATTACTTCCAGAAAACTAAGATAGATTGATAAATATATATATAAAATACAACCTGGTCGATAGCAGAGGTGTGAAAGTTTATTGAAAACTTTATTCAAATGTCTCATTGAGTTTTATTCTTTGCACCTCTTCTTTAATTTTTACTGCCCCTCTTGTGTTAAAATTGATTTTACGTGTGCAAACAGGTTCAACAAGGTGCAATCTCTATTTCCATGATTCATGAAGTCTCACCTTTCTCTGCAAACTGTTGTCCACCTTTGAGTGTGACTGTTCAGAACCGATCTTTTGTCTTGAGACGTAATCGGACGTTGTTCAAACAGATCTCAGTTCAGCAGCTGGACTTTTAAATAAAACACTCCGATGTGAAAAGGAAAATGATGTATATACTGACACCATCATTGTGTTTGTCACTTGTCCGGTGTAGTCGTCTTTACATCTCGTACTTTTTAGATTGATGACTTAAAACTAGAGATTTTCTGATCAAATATTTTCCTTTCCGATACCTGAACTTTGCGTTCTGGCCGATACTAAGTACCGATGCTGTACTTCCACCTTGCCTGTGGCACGACTGCTGTTTAAGAGCGGCGAAGAAGAGTTGTAGTTGCATATAGTGTTGTATCGCATCAACACACAGATTCGTGAACTCGTCGATGTATTTCTGGAATCACCTCTAGTTAAAAAAACAACTTTTGTAGTTAATTGCACATTTTCAACGATATCTACATCGAGTTAATTGTGAAAGAATATAATATATAATAAATACGAGAGTAAATGTAAGTTCACAGAGTGAAATATGAAAAGTGTTTCACCACATGTGCACAATGTTTGTGTGTATGTGACTCAAACTCAAATCAGTTTTCTGAAAGTTGAAAGTCACGTTTTCCATTTGTTTTTCTGGGGACTTGGATCCTCTGCAGCTACTCGATGCATCGCGATGAACTTTCCTCTCGGGTGTGATCTTACTTTTCCCACAGTGACTTTGCCGAAGCACTATGTTCTTTCACTGCTCTCTCTCTCTCTCTCTCTCTCTCTCTCTCTCTGGTTTGTTGTAAACAAGACACCAGCAGATGTAGGTAGAGGTGGAAATTCAGCAGGTTGTTGTGTTGACGGGTTTGTGGAGTGACTCACATTTTTACGTTGTTTGGTTTGATCCATTTTCACGGACGAGGATGGTGAATTAAAGACATTTATTTTGCTGCTTTAACTAGTATGAGAGTTTAAAGAAAATAAACTTTTGGACTTTGAATCTGCTATCGGAGAATGAAGCTGAAGGTAGAGATGAGATAAGGTCATAATGTCTCTCAGAGTCTTCTCTGGTTTCACTGAGGCCGAGTCGAGGCCTGCCTGGCTCCCTGGGCTGAGGCTCTCCGGGCCTATTCTGGGCGAGGCGAGCCCACCACCCACACATCCTGCAGGGGTGGAGAGAGGCATGTGGTCCTCCCAGCACCCTGGGCCTGCTGACTGCCACTCCTCTGTTAGCCAGGCTTCCGCAGGGCCTCACATGCACATAGGAAGAGTCAGAAACAAGCCTCTTTCAGATCCCCTCTGCCGCGCGCTCTCTCGGTTTGCGGTGGCACCCGTGTGAGCGATTGTAGACGATAACTACGGATCTGACGGGCTGTCAGGGCAGCAAACAGCCAAACATCCCAGCCAGAAGAAATGTAATCACAGGGCTCTGCTAATGTGGAATCTCGTGCGTGTAGAAACACAACTGACGGCCAGATTAGTCCTTTAAAAATCCCATTTTATAATGAAATACCTTTTCTTCATCGTAGGGGAAAGATCGAGTGTTAAAGAAAGTTTCCTAGTTTCAAATCCTGCATTCTGAAGACTTAAATATCCTGTCACTGCCATTCAGGCTAAAAATGTTGTGGCTCGTATTTAACCTCTTCACTCTCCTGTTCAGGCCTGACACACTCAGATCACGCACCTGCCAGGAACAGTGTTTACAGTACGTGTGTGTAGAAATGCGTCTCCTCGTCAGGTCACAGTGATAATTTGGTTTCAGCATCAGGTGGGACATGAAATCCCCGATGAAGGTGTGAGAGCAGGTTTAGAGTTGTTATTTTTAAATGTACCTTTTCTAACCATCAAAGCAGGAAGATGGTGAAACTGTGAAGAATACGAATCATTATCTACTTCAACTGGAGCTCACGCGTCCAACAACGGCAAACGCTCCCCTTCAATTCACCGAATTTCACATTTCACATCCATTCTTCCATCAGATCTCATCCTCGTCCGTCTTGTCGTCTCATTTCTGATCAACGTGCGGTGTGTTGTCCCTCAGGTATGGCGGCGGTGTTGCCGAGGACCCTGGGTGAGCTGCAGCTCTACAGGATCCTGCAGCGAGCGAACCTGCTCTACTACTACGAGGCCTTCATCCAGCAGGGTGGCGATGACGTGCAGCAGCTGTGCGAGGCCGGCGAGGAGGAGTTCCTGGAGATCATGGCCCTCGTCGGCATGGCCAGCAAGCCGCTGCACGTGCGTCGCCTGCAGAAGGCGCTGCGCGACTGGGTCACCAACCCGGCTATCTTCAACCAGCCGCTCACCTCGCTGCCCGTCTGCAGCATCCCCGTCTACAAGCTGCCCGAGGGCTCGCCCACGCTGCTCAGCGCTCAGGACCGAGCCAACACCGCCAGCGTCAAGATTCCCAAAGCCGTCGCGGCCGCCTGCTCAGATCCCGGGAAGCTGGACGTGGCGCGGGACAAAGTGTCGGCCGGGTCGCCCCTGCAGGGCAGCAGCGAGGCTCGGTTCTGGTCGGGCCACAGCAACGACAGCGAGCACAGCCTGTCGCCATCGGACCTGGGCTCGCCGTCCTCACCCAGAGACGCCCTGGAGGCCCTGGATGCTGCCGCCGTCCAGTCGGTGCTGGAGTGCGTGGACAGGATGGCGCCCGGACTTCCTAAAACAGACCTGGCCGAGGTCAAAGATCAACTGAAGAACAACAAAAAGTTAGCGAAGATGATCGGACACATCTTTGAAATGAGCGACGATGACCCGCGGAGGGAGGAGGAGATTCGTAAGTACAGCGCCATCTACGGACGCTTTGACTCGAAGAGGAGGGACGGCAAACACCTGACGCTGCACGAGGTTCATAAATATACGTTTTCCCGTAGAGTGGACTTGTCCTCAATGAGGTTGAAGTTTCTGTGTTGTGCCTGAATTGACTCGTGTGTGTCTGATGTGCAGCTGACGGTGAACGAGGCGGCGGCTCAGCTCTGCATGCGAGACATGGCTTTGCTGACACGTCGAGACGAGTTGTTTGGACTCGCCCGGCAGATCTCCAGAGAGGTCACATACAAATACACCTACCGCACCAGCAAGTAAGAGTTCCAGCATTCTGGGAACGGATCTTAGATTTCTGTGATTCACACCCTGTCCTATGAGTGTCTGTGTTTATTCAAATTACAGATACAACGTGGTTCTCTCGACCTGTTGTTTACAAAGTCCTTGATTTCCCGATGTTTCTCCGCAGGTCTCGCTGTGGAGACAGAGACGAGCCGTCCCCGAAGAGGATAAAAACAGAGGTGAGGTCAACGCTCGCATTAAAATTGTGCTTGTTGGAATTCAAACACAGGATTTCTGAATCTTCTTTTTGCCCGATAACGTGCAGCTTTGTCATTTCTACTCGTCTCAGCTAAACCGACAAATATTCTCCAAAATCAGTTTCACAGTTGTGAGGATTTTTCTTCTCATGTGAGGCCTCGACTGAAGAACTGAGGTTTTCAGACTCATTGTTACAGAAAACAAACTATTTCCCTGACACACTTTTGTAAACTTTGTGGTATTTGACTTAGTCTCTGACAGATCGACTGATTGAACTCTTCACTGATACGAACCGTTTCGTTCTGAGATTATTTTTCGGTTTTCAACACTGAAACGTCTGAAATGTGAAGACGCAGCTTTGTGTAGTTCTCGGAAGTGACCAGAGCACAAAGTGACCTCTCACTCTACATCTCCTGACACACTTGGCTGCGAGGCGTCTTTTTGCTCTGAATGGCTCCTCTCAGTTTGTAAACCGGTGATTGAAAACATGTGGCGGCTGCAGGGATTCTAACCACGATGAACCAACACCTGCCCACTGACTTAAGGAGGGAGTTTCCTGTTCATTTCACTTTCAGGACATCTTACTGCAGAAAAACCAAAGTCCCCGAAACCCCAGTTTGTTTGTCCGTTGCTTATCGTACACACGCATTCAAACATATGTGATGTGTCCAATTCAAAAAGTATAAATCCACGCTCCTCTGTGTTTCCAGGAGAACTTCTTCGACATCCAGGAGGCGCTGCAGGCCATCCACATGCGGCAGGAGATGCTGAGGGAGCAGCTGGCCTGCGCCAAGTTGAAAGGGGAGGAAACCGTCGGGAGAAACCTGCAGGTGAGCTTCACTTTTGAATCTGATTATCGATCGAACACTTTCCGGCTTCTCTCGTTCCCCCTTTGTCAAATCGTCTCTGACTCTAACTCTCGGGCCTCTGCTGAGTTAAAGTCTCAGAGAGACGCTCATCAGAGGAGAAGACACAGATTCTCTCTGATGCCGAAACAAATGTTCCTCAGCTGTGGAGTTGAAAGAATCGTCAGCGACAGATTTCCATGTCAGCAGATGTTTGTGGCGGCAGGATCCAGTTTGATCCCGGTTAATGGTCTTTATTGGTTTCCACGCTGCTGCTGCTGCTGCTGCTGCGGCTTCTTCCTAATTAGAGTCAGAGTGTAGGAGGAGAGCTTTATGATAACTCATTACCCAGAGAACACATCCATGCTAAGTGTGTGCGTTTGCCCCTTGACTTCTCTGCGCGTGTCGAACATATGTCTTGTCTGCGTGTGAGGATTCTGGTCGAGCACTTCGTGCGGCTGCAGCTGCACTTGTCATTTTGATGAGATTTCCAGAAATCCCATTCAGGAGAAGAAGAGATTTCACGGCTGCGTTCACGCCATCTGAGCGTCTGAACCTCCCGCAACAATTTAAAGTGACAGCGATGTGCAGACCGACAATAAACAGACGTCTCTGTGTTTTGTGTCCCAGTGTGGCTGAAAATGACCTGTCACTCACTGGATTAGTCATTTTGAATAATAACCTCAGCTGTTATAGTTTCTACAGAGTTTCTACATTCTCGTAAATTCAGAGTGCAAATCGTTTGTGTCCTTCAGATGCAGCTGGAGCGTCTGCTGGCGAGGCAAATGGAGATCCTGCAGGACGCCGCCGTTCAGGAGCGACTCCAGGCCCTGGACTGGAGGATCCCCCCCGCCGCTCTAAAGTACCTCAATGACGTGCAGAACACTAACGGAGCAGCTGCCGACGCCAGCAGAGACAACCAGGGTGAGGGGACAGACGAAGCTGCGACGAAGCCGTCAACTTATCAGGGAACTAATTCAGAATCTCCAGGTTGATGGTCTGTGCACACGCGCATGTGTAGGCCCGGCTCACTGCTGCCCCCTGTGTCCAATAAGCTCCTGCGGGAACCGTCTTCAGGCAAATTGACGCCATTGTTGCGTCTTTCAGGCGAATCTGAGTCTAATTTGACTTGATCTTCTTATTTATTTATTTTTGCTAATTTGATTAATTTCCTCTCATGAATGCCACGAGAAAGTGGATGGAGGACGATTCTCCACATCCAGCTGTCACTTTAATTATTTATTTTATTTTTTTCTCTCTTCACCTCCATTTTTATATTTATTTCTTCTCCACTCCTCCGACACAGAGGTGAGAGAGGGAAACATCATTATTCAGGATCTTACTCCTGCTCCGGGCCTCATCTCATTTTCATCCTGTTCCTCCTTCACCCACTCCCGACAGCTCATTATAACGCTGTTCCCACAAATCCCACAATGCACCTGTAATTATCACGCCCACGCCTGTTTACCTCCAGCCAGTTGCCTGGAGGGGGGCGTCTCTCTCTCTCTGTCTAGCTCTCTCTACCTCTCTCTCTCCTGCCTCCTCCTCTTCTTCTCTGCTTTTCTTCCTCGTGTCCCTGTTTTCTCCGTCATTTGTCATTTTCTTTTTTCTCCTTCTTGTCCTCCTCTCGTCTCGAACTCTCTCCTGCTGCAGTTTGACGTTTTAAACTCTCCCTGTTTTTCCTTATTCCTCCCTTTTTCTCTCTTTTCTTTTTCACCATGTTTCCCCGCGTATATATTTCGTGCACATTAAACCGTTTTGCGCCAAAATGTAAAATAGATTAAACGAGTTATTGTATTCTGTCACGTTCAAACCAATCGATCGATAATATGATAATTATTCGTCGCAGCTCTGCAGCAGTGGTGAGACGTGATGATGAATGAAATGTCTGCATCAAACCCTTTGTTTAATGTAGAACATACACAGCAGTCAGGAAAAGAAACGATGTGACTGAACACAGACGTAGATTCAAGTGAAATAATCTGATAATGATGAACTCATCGTTACTCCACATTCACCGTGTCGGTATTAAACAAAGAGCAGATTCATCGAGATCCTTCTCTCTCTCGCTCTCAAAGGCAACAAAAGACAAACACCAGGGAGCAGCAGCTTCACTCACGTTGTCACCACCCGGGAATAATTCACTGAACATGTCAAACAAAGTGAGCGTTAGGAGAACATCTGGGCTGATGTTTGCTTTGGTCCCCTCTGTGGATTAGCTTTATTTCATTGGATGATGAACGCGACTCGATGGGAAGAACAGAACCCGATATTCAAACAGACACATTCATCTCTTTGTCATATTTAAAGCCGTCATAATGTAGTACAGAGTATATATAAAGTATATTATAATGTAGTATAGTATAAAGCTCAAGTACAAACACATGTCCCCGTACACTTTCTGTAGATTTATCGAATATCTGTTTCCTGTTTTCCAGACGAACGTCCAATCAACTTGCGGGTGGTGAGTCAAAGCATGCAGGAAGGTGACCTCCCGCTGGGGAAGCAGCTCGCCAATGAACTGAAGCGTCATCACAACCACAACCACAACAACAACAACAACAACAACAACACAGACGAGACCAAAACACCAGCAACAGGTTTGTGGACTCTCTGTGGCGTTAAATGCGTTTCCACCAGGCAGCGTGAGAATCCCCCGCGCTGACGCCATCTCTCTCCTCTTTCAGAAAACGGGACGTCGCAGCGGGCGCCCAGCAGCGCAGAGAAGAAGACCATCAAGTCGGAGCCCGAAGACTCCACATAGTGCCTCACCCACCCTCCCAGCACCCGACTACCCAACCTGTACCCACTCCCAACTCATTCTACTCACACTTGACAGTATGCAGTTACTACCCGTCAATAGATACTAAGCAAGCACAGCCACAGTAGAGCCTTAACAACCAATGTTGCCTCATGAATAGCATTTATTTTTCTTTGATTTCGTCTTTGTGTTTTTTTTATTTTCAAAGGTATTTGCCAAAGCACCTAGCGAGCGTGTCGAGAAGCCCTTCAGAGCTGTGCAGGTCTTTGTCTGTAGTTGTACACGTTAGATACGCATGTCGTTTGAGAGTGTGTGCTCTTTACCTCTGCCTGGGTGTTATTTCTGTTGCTTTCTTCGGACGGCCGGGGCTGACTCTTAACTCAGACGTAGATTCAGACGTGAGACGAGGGCAGAAATGTTGCCGCGCGTCCACAACGAGGTGAGCTCACCGCAGCTTTACCGATTTATAAAACGACCACGGCGACGATTCTTTAGAGCTGAAGCTGCTGACGCTGCCGATATTAAAGTATTTTGAGAGTCTAGTGTTTCCTCGTTAGATTTTTAGTTCAACAAACTTTGTTTCAAATTGAAATATAATGACAAATACTGGATGGATTGCCATTAGACTTGGCAAAGACATCCTATAAATGAAGGTGACCCCCTGGCTTCAATACAACCTGTAGGTCTGTGTAAAGTATAGAATTATATTCATGGTTCCAGGGTTTGGAGTGAAATATCTTTACAAGCATTCACAAAGTTGGGAAAAGACTCTCTCAGGATTAATTGCACAAATTTTGTGGATCCCTTAAAAAGTCCTCTCTCCTTCAGGACGTCAAAACATTTGTCCAACTACCAAATGTCCGATTCCCATTGGTCTCATCTGTACTTTGTATTTGGTGCTAAGACTAAAAAGTCTTCTGGAAACAGGGTGGACACAGCTACTTGTGATTTTATGAGCTGATGCTTTCTGACATACATGTGAGCTTAACTGAATATTTATTGTAAAATAAAAAAGCAGGCACCACATAATAAAGTGGTCATGCAGTGTGTTCTCAGTTTGAGATTTCTATTGGCTGCAGTGGCTGGTTTCACAAGCCATTAAATATAAGAAGATAAGAAGACAAAAGCTTCTGACCCTCCAGGTGTAGAAGTACTGTAGGGAGACTGAGTTAGGATCCAGCCCCTTCTTCTTCGTCTTTCACTTCAAACGGGGGAGACGGGAGAAGTGAGATTAACGAGTCCTCCCCTCCTGGTGTGTGTTATGTATATTTATGGGAGGTCATTTCAGAGGAGGATGTATAGGAGCTGTGGAACAACAGCTGAGGACCTTCGTCTTGGCAGGACGGCCGGGCTGGTTTGCCGCAGGCCGAGCTAATTGGTTCATTTCACTTTGTAATTTAGCAAAACACTGCTGTTGAACCAAAACCATGCATCTACAAACAGGGATTATTTCAGGAATCCAGACGCCCGTGTGTTTTGTAGAAGTAATCCAGGAGAAATCCACTCAATATGAAAACTTTCAACTGAACACCATAAAATACTAAAGATCGCAGGTTTGTGGGTTTTAACAGCAGCAAAAGGTCGAATCCCTGTGTATTGCGTGTCGTGTAAATAGTTCCATGATAAGGAATCGTGTTAGCCTAATCTCTCAACCAGGGTTTTCCTTCGTCGAGTGTAACTTTGCTGTAGATTTCTTGGTGTCAATACAGTGTTTATGTATGTGGAGCAAAATCATAAAAAAAAAACAAAAAAAAAACCTAAGTGTCATTGAGGAAAAAAAAATAAATATGTGAAAGTTTCTGGTATATAAAAAAAAAGATGCTTTACATGATGATGATGATGTTGATTAGCCTTAGCTCTTAACACTTTTTAATCCATCAGTGCAGATTTCCAAGATGTGTTGTTGCTGTTTAGAGGTAGATACATAACAAATGAGTGTTCACTGTGTTTCTGTGTCTTCTCCACATTGTGTAAATATGTCTATATGGTCCCAGATGATAATAATGTCCTCTCGATTTAGTCTCCCTGCAGGTAGTTTAGTCTCACTCAGCGTAATGACAGACCAATGCAATATTTATGTCAGTAACACGTCGGTTTGCATATTCTATGGATCCATTGTTTTGTGCTCAGTAACTGTACGTCTGTCATCGGGGTGGAGCTCACCTTCGACACGGGAACTGTTTGTGTCGTCTGACTTTTAGTGCACGAGAGCACCGTACTTGTGTTTGAAGACGTTGTGCTCTTTCCA